TCATTTTGGCCAGAACATATAGCTCTTTATATGGCCAATGCCTACTATGTATCAGGAGCTTTACTGAATAACCCCATTTACCACCCACTAGTGGTTCTGATTCAGTAGGAATGTCTACACAACAAGCATTACAGCAGCACAGTTGCAGCTATGCCACCACAGCGCAGTAGTGTAGACACAACAACCAGGGAAGGGGGCTTTCCATTGCTGTCATAAATCCACCTCTGAGATACGTGCTAGTTAGGTCAGTGGAAAAATTCTTCTGTCAACCTAGCTGCACCTACAATGGGGATTAGTTTGACCAAACTCAGTCACACAGGGTGCAAAATTTTTCCACATCCTGAGCAATGTAGCTAGGTCGATAAAACGGTTACCTACCTTTTGTAACTGTTGTTCTTTGAGATGTGTTGCTCATGTCCATTTCATTCTAGGTGTGTACACGCCCATGTGCACAGTCAGAGATTTTTGCTTTAGAAGTATTCATAGGGTCGGCTGTGGCACCCTCGAGTGCCACGCTCATGTGTCGATATAATAGGCGCCACCAGTCCTATACCCTCTCAGTTCCTTCTTGCTGGTAACTCCGACAGAGGGGCAGGATGGCAGGTAATGGAATGGACATGAGCAACACATCTCAAAGAACAACAGATGCAAAAGGTAGGTAATCGTTTTTTCTTCTTCGAGTGCTTGCTCATGTCTATTCCATTGTAGGTGACTCACAAGCAGTATCCCTCAAGGTGGGCTCAGAGTTCACGGTCACGTGGCTTGTAACTGCTGTACCCAAGCCAGCATAGTCTTGGGCCTGCTGGATAAGCGCATAATGAGACATAATCAAACTATTTACAAGGCCCTAAGGCTTGAAGACCAGATAGAAAGAACCGCTAAACCTTGCTAGCCAAGGGAAAAGGTGCTCTGACCAACCACCACTGGTGGTAAGAAGGAACTGAGAGGGTGAAGGGCCGGCGGTGCCTAATATACTGACGCATGAGCGTGGCGCTCAAGAGGGTGCCACAGCCAAACCATATGGATACCACAAAGGCAAAAAACTCTTAAGACTGCACACATGGGTGCACACACACCTAGAATAGAATCGACATGAGCAAGGACTCGAAGAACTAATATTTAGGTGTAGATTCCAAGGCCAGAAGGGGACCATTATGATCATCAATCCAGGGGTTCTCAAACTTCATTGCACCATGACCCCCTTCTGACAATGAAAATTACTATATGACCCCAGGAGAGGGATCAAAGCCTGAGCCCTGCCACTCAGGGCTGAAGCCCTGGGGTAGTGGGGCTGGGGCTTGAGTCCCTGGCCCCAGCAAGTTTAACACCAGTCTTGGAGACTCCATTAAAACAAGGACACTATCCACAGTTTGAGAACCACTGAGTAGTCTGATTGCCTGCATAACACAGGCCATAGAACTTTTCCAAAATACTTCCTAGAGCATATCCTTTAGAAAAACATCTAATGTCGATTTAAAAACTGAGTGATGGAGAGTCCACCATGATTCTTGGAAAATTGTTGCAATGGTTAATTACCCTCACTTAAAAATTTACAGCTGATTTCCCATCTGAATTTGTCTAGCTTCAACTTCCAGCCATTGGATTGTTATAGATTGAAGACCCCATTATCAAGTAGTTTCCCCCATGTAGGCACTTATAACCTGTAATGAAGTCACCCCTTAAACTTTCTCCTTGTTAAGCTAAATAGATTGAATTTACTGAGTCTCTACAAAGCATGTTTTCTAATCCAATTTATTAACATCCTTCTTGAATTGCGGACATCAGAGTTGAACACAATATACCAGCAGTGGTTGCAACTGTATGTGTAGACAATCCCTAAACAACAGGAGAAGAGAGGTTTTTCCTGAGGGCTGATTGCAAAGCCAGGGATTGTATACATGAGAAGCAGAGAGCCACCAGAAAAAGCCAGGAGACAGCCAGAGAAGCCCTGGGAGGAAGCCACTGAGTGAGATTTTATTGGACAGTGTGCTGGCTGGAAAGAGACTTGGAATTGTAAGCAAGCAAATGGGCTCATTTGTTTCTGCTGTGTTTAGGGAAACAGGACTTTGTTGGTGCAATCCTGTTATTTATAAAGAATATACTCAAATACCTGGACTTTCATTAATTTCTCCTGATAACAGAAAGAACCCCCAAGGACCCAAATCCTGGCTACCTTCTCAGATCAAAAGGAGCAACAATATCAATAGAAATTTTGCATTGGGAAGACAGAATATGGCTCTTATTAATATACAGTGATGGTGAGAGGAGACAGAAAAATTAAATGCTAATTTTAAAGTTTTAATATTCGTGAATGTTTTCCAAAGATTGGCTGTGATTCTTGAAACTTCTCTGGCTCTTTGCTGCATCTCATGATGTCCATTCTGTGCATGTGTGCAACATGTGCTCCAAATCCACAGATGCCTCAGCAGCAACCACTTAAAGGAAAACTGAATCCAGGACTAATCATCATTCCGTGGTTGTATTATGCCCTTCTTATTGGATCAATTGCAGTGCAAACAGAAGTGTGATAATTAAAGTTTTCCACACAGGTTAGCATTGCTTGCTTTTATGGAATGCTGGGAATAAAAATATTCACTTTTACTTCCAACATGAAAATATGAAAAATTCATTTATTTTAGTAAGCAACCTCGTTCAGATTTCAAAACTACACCATTTTCATTCACAGTACAAAGTGGTATGAATTTCTTTAAACTCTCATTGTGCATTTTACATTTTTTTAAGATTACCAATCTAAAAGTTGATACAAGAATAAATTTATTGTTGAAGAACTGTGATGGCCAATAAACCAAAATACAATGTCATGCTATGACAGTTCTGCTGATCGTGAATCGCAGCTGACACTATAGTAACATCACTTTACACACTTCATGAGAATTTTAATGCTTTACAGTCTAAACATAAAACTGCCACTAAATACAGACTGTACAATTAGACAAGTAAACAAATACTCTATTAAATATCCTGCCCAAGGCCCGAGTTCACTATAATACATTAAAGCAGTTTTGATTTACAACTTCAAGCCTGAAGATCTGTACAGTGGTTAGAACTGCCTGAATTTTAGCACTTATGAGAACAAACCACTTCCAATTCAATATCAGGGACCCATTTATTCTATTGATTTTTGTTGCAAGGACTGGAACGTTAAGGGGACTTGGGGGTACTAATCCTAGTCTCTAATGTCTCATGTGACTTCCTTGTACATCAGTCAAATCCTATTGGAATGAGAGGTACAAAGCAGAATCTCATTGCAAACCAGATAGTTTGGGAGAATTTACCCGGAAAGCTGTTTCAAAACAGAAATGATCAGTAAATAAAATGAATCTCACACTGCAGAGAACAAACATAAAATGGACACAGGGTTACAAACACACACACACATTTTTACAGGGCATTTCTTTAACCTTGAACTGCACAAGCCAATCAACTCAAAAACACCCACAAAGAAGTTACTTCTCAAGTCCAAGACTGAGATCAAGTGTTCATAACCTTATTTTAGGAAGAAACTCTATTCCCTTTCTTCTGCAATTCAGGTAGATATTGGCATACTAAACACATTTACACACACAAATCGTAACACAGAGAAAGAAAATCATCCTTTTTTTACCTGGAAGATGGGTGAAATTTGACTTCAATCTATACTCTCACATTTCATTTTTGATCTAACTGTGAAATGTAACCAAGACAAGTGGTATCATGGCATCTAAATACACGTACGTACAAAGTATGATACAAAATCATCAGCAAATGCATCTTTCCCTTGCCATATTTTCATTTCTTACTTAAAAAGACAAATGCAGTATTTAAGAAAGCTCCAAAATAATGTGTCACAACAGTGTAGGTCGCTAGGAAGACAAGACTTTAAAGAAAAAAAACAAACTGTGTTTCAATACAGAAATTGAAATATTTGACACCTATTTGTCCAAAGACCAAGCCTGCTGAGCCTCAGTATAAAGTACCTGTACTGTCAAACCCCTCAAGACCCAAGGACACACCTGTTTTGTTCACATTACCACATCTTCCCTCCCTCACAACAGCCAACTGTGCCCCCAATAGTCAACTGATACCCTACCCACTCCCCCAGTTAAATTTGCCCTCCTTTTCAATAATGGATGCTCAGTACCTTTTTGCAAGGCTCCTCTGATGCTACTACCCTTCTACATATGCAAGAGGTCCTTGGTCTTCCACATAGGCAGCTCCACTCCATAACCCCCATCCTTAGGGGAAAAGCAGCAGCAGCTCTGTTCCCCACCTCCACTCTTGGATTCCAGAAAAAGATATCAGCTCAGGAGCTACTCAGCTCCCTCCCTCCCAGGAAAGGAGTCGGCAGTTCCATGGCCCTCACTCAGCTCACTTGCCCAGGCAAACTTTCTACCAGTCCTAGTCGAGCAAGTTCTTCAAGCCGTTAAATACGGTGGCCCCATTTAAAAGGCTAATTTGTTTTACTGATTTTGTTTGTTTTTCACAGAATTCTCCAGAGTACAAAAGGGTCTGAACCAGAAGCCTATGAATAGGCTTATAGTCACTAATTTATACTGTATGGCAGAACAGCAGGAGGACAACTAATGCTCGCACACAGAGGAAATGCATTTATATTTCCCCAGTGTTTATATTTTGTCTTTTACACTAAAAAAGTGGCAGGGAAGTGGATCAAAAGGAAACTTGCTTCCTCATCCTTTTTTTGCTTTGATATATTCAGTCCAGTTTTCAGTTCTAACAAATATGAATTACGACACACCTGGACTGCAATCCTCGACTAAGGGCAGGTCTACACTAACCCCCTAATTCGAACTAAGGTACGCAACTTCAGCTACGCGAATAACATAGCTGAAGTTCGAAGTACCTTAGTTCGAACTTACCTCGGTCCACACGCGGCAGGCAGGCTCCCCCGTCGACTCCGCGGTACTCCTCTCGTCTAGCTGGAGTACCGCAGTCGACGGCGAGCACTTCCTGGTTCGACTTATCGCGTCCAGACAAGACGCGCTAAGTCGAACCCAGAAGTTCGATCACTCGCCGCCGAACTACCGGGTAAGTGTAGACCTACCCTAAGAGCCAGACCCATGCAGAACTCTATTGCAGTCAATGGAGGTCTGATCGCACAGATTTAAGTGCAGGATTGGGGAGTTACATAAACAAATGTACTTGATGCACGCAATGTTTGCACATATTTTTTAAGTTCATTTCAGTGTGAAGGGCAGAAATGTAAAACCTGGATTAATTGTTCAAGGCAACACAACACCAGTGCATGATTATTTTGGTGAAACAAATATGAATATTTTCTACACATTGCCTAGAGCTAATATCAATTTCAAAGCAAATTTCCATTCTATTTGAGGGCTAAATGCATGGAGAGAGAGAGAGAAAAAAAAGCAGATACAGAAAATAAAGAAGGGGCAGTATAGGTGTGACCCATCTTCCCAACTTACCTTTGAACCATGGAAGTCCCTCCTTCATTAGGAAAATGGCAGGCCTGAGGCATGGCCATCTTCTGTAACATTGTCTCTGTATTTCTCCCCTATCCCTTCCTAATACCTCTGTGGATTCCAGATATATATGTTATTGCTGATCTAGTATTATTAACTTAGACTGCATGCTATACTACGGTCTGCAGTTCAACCCATCATTGTGGCTTGGGGGTGAGCAAAAGCAACTGGAGATAGAGTCAGCTTCGTAAACAATCCCTGTTACAGAGCACAAGAAGCATTGCGGAGGCATAGAACTCTGGGGATTTTGGAAGCTATGCCTCATTTCACAGGGAAACAAAATTTTGCACCAAAGTGTTGCACCAAAAAAATTTCAAATTATTCAAGCCAGACAAACATTTATCCAGTATATTACCTCTGGTACAATCTCTCTCTCTCGAAAATAAACCCTACAGGGCATAAAAATAGTTTACAAAGAACTACCCTATACTTTGAATTGGAGATTGGCCCAACTAAAACCATGGACCCAAAATTCCAAATTTTGCAACTGTCCCCTCTCTCTAATAGGCTGAACCAAAATCCTAATGCCCTGAATGCCCCCAAACTCTATGTGTGGGACGGTCACGAGCACAGGAGTGGTCAAAATCCAGATTAGAATTTTTTGGCTTGAGTGCATCTCTACCATGGATATGAGATTTTACAATAAACTATATTAACAGTGGTAATTTTTTAACACTGTTTTATTTCCCACATAATTCAGGAGAATGCAGACTCAAGTAATTCTTCAAAGTCTTGCCTTAGATTGCCCTAATAAAGTACATCTCTCAGAAATCAGATGTGCAAGTTGATTTATATAAAAAAAGACATTAGGATCACCCACAGTATAGAATGTCATTAACCATATATGTATCAAAAACGTTCAGTAGTCCTAGTATCGCATTTAAATTATGCTGCTAATTCAATGTAACCTACAATATCTACCAAAAATATAACAGCACATACAATGTGCGTTTAAAAAAAAAAAATTTCCCACTGGTCCCAGATATTTTAAAACAAAAGGACTAAGGCAGTAGTTATAATACACAGGTTTTTTTAAAAAGATACAGTTAACGTTTTTACTGCTTAAAACTGTGGAAATATAATTTAACAAAATACAAGTCACATTTACAGCATAAGGCCCTTTGGTTTCTTAAGCAGCAAATGAAAGAACAATTTCATCAGCGAAAGGCTTTGAAAAATAAAGTACAAGTTTTCTATAAAAAAAAAAGTTAACTAGTTCTTTCCTTCTCAAAATAGCCAGTCTTCTAAATAGTCCTCTAAATATTACACAAGAAGGTTCCTGAATTTCCTAGGAAAGAGTAAAAACCAAACTGTAGTTAACTGTCAGACCAGAGATTCTATCATGGGCAAGCTGAACATCTACCTGTTTGGAAGCAGAAGAAACTACTGCTTAATTTTCTGGAGAACTTTATTAAATTTGGAGCAATACATTAAAAGGATTTAAAATAGTTATCTAGTCACCAAATCTAGTGCTTATAGTTTTGCTTGAGAATTCACTTCATATGCATTTGTCCTTCATAAGAGTTTGACAGCAAAAAATCTGAGTAACTGTTTATTTTAAATCAAGGCAATCATGGCAGACTGCTTTTTCACTAGTTTTGAGCAGTCCTCTTCAGTCTCCTCTAATATAGATGGAAAATGTTAAGTGACCCAAAATGTTTCCATGTAACTACGCAAACTATATCCAATTTTGAGGCAGATCGTCTTAGCCACTAAAACACAGAAATATTTCACTTACAATATACATGATTGACTAAGTTACCCGCCATGTTTTAAGCAGGATTTAGAAAGGCTTAACATCAAATGGTACATGGCTCTTACTGTGGTGCTGAAAATCGGGAATCAAAAACCATGGAGCAAGTTATAATCTAGCATGACTATTGGAGCAGTGTTTTTCTGTGTCCTAAACTGGATATTGCTTAGGAGTTAATATCACAATTTCACTCCCAAAATCTCCATTCTGTTTTAGTGAGAATTAGAATGATCACCATCATCACTTTACTCTTGTTGAACACTACTGCTGTATTAATCCTTCTTACTCTCTAACAAGATAAAGTGAAAGCCAAAACATTTCCCTTCAAAACCTTAGTCTCTTATACATGATTAGAGACATTTTCATTCAACATGGCTAAAAAAACCAAACAATTGGATGCAGTGTAATCCCATGGTGTGTCATAGTACAACTCAGGGTCAAGCCAAATTTAGGCTATCCAAATCACACCACATCAGGATTTAGCACACATTGAACAGAGACTTGGATATTGTGGGGGCACTAAACAATATAAATTAGCTTATTACAACTTAACCATTTTTGTTCAATTTATGGAGTAACACTACACAAATCCAAAAGCTATTTGGAACAAATTTCTGAACAATTATGAAATATTTAGCTTCTGCTTTTGTGCATGGATGTACGCAGATTGATGTATCCTGACTTAAAACCCTGAAGTTGGGGGGAAAGGAACAAGATTATTTATCACATAAGACAACTTGACAATTATGAGATTCTATTGCATTACCAGGTCAGCCTGAAAACAAAATCTTTTTCCAGTACAAGTCTTTATTTTGCTAGGTGGAAAGTTTCCCCAAGTCAAATTTTTACCAATCATACAAAGATGTTAATCAGCTTACCCATCATTCAAATTGTATCAATCTTTGAAAAAGAAAGCAAGACATTTTACCCAAAAAGATCTTTTAAGTCATTGCTAGCTGAGCTGCTGTTTGTCATGGTGTTTGTTGGCTGTGCAAAGTTCTGAGGGTTAAAGAAAGGATTACCCTGCATACCAAAACCAGGTTGTCCTAGAGTGTTCATCTGTTGTCCCAAAACAGAACTGCTTGCACCCGGGGAACCTTGAGGGGGTACAAATTGAGTAAGCCACTGGTTTGGTTTTTGTTGTGACAATTGGTTCATACTAACTTTGGGTTTTTGAGGACCAAAAAGACTATCTAAAGCAGACAAGTCTGGGGATCTGTTGTGTTGTGTCGGCTGTGAGATTCCAGATGTAGCACTCACAGGGCTGTAGTTTGGCATGTTGGCAGTTGGTACCACGTTCATCTTGGCCATTCCAGTTGCAGTTGGACTACTGAAGAAATTCTGGTTTGTAGTACCTGCCCCAAGGCTGAATCCAGAAGTCTGAAATCCCATATTAGTATTTAGTCCATTTGCTATGTTTCTCTTTGTGCTGTCAACAGGTGATAAAAATCCCATTCCAACACCCATAGATGGGACAGAAGAGAAGCTACTTGAAGAAGCAACTTTAGGTTTGCTGATGGAATGGCTGGTCAAAGACGACATATTATCTATCAAGGTATCTGTCAAGTCCTTTGTCTGCAAAACATACAAGTGTAGTTACATGCTTTTGCTGCTTACAGACACACTAGCAACACTTTATTACATTGCTTCTGTAGTTAAGATACAGGTGGCACTCTTTTAAACCCCAAATTTCAGAAGCTGAAATTAATTCTATTCCATGTTCCACTCAAACTTGGCATAAAAGTTAATTTCTTTACCTTATACAAGGACAATTTGGTTATTTTGGTACTCAGGTGTTTGAGTTGTTCCACAGATTTGGCACCTGAGTCTGGCAAATACTGTTTTTCTAAACTAACACTTTTGAGACTGCTTGAGAAGAATTTTCAGCACAGCTTGAGGGAACTGAACACAATTGTTTCCATTAAAGTCAAAGTGAGTCACATGGCTAATGCTCACATACAGTATCATGCTGAAAAATATCTCTATGAAATATGTGCAGAGATCCTTTGATGTTTTGAAAAAGATGCATTAAGCAAATGTTCAGTAAATCAATATTCTATACTATAAATTACACATTTTCTACATATATGGGTCTAAATTTAGCCTTCAGAAGTATGTGCAACTCTTGCTGAGGTCAGTGAAAGTTGCATGCTCCTGAGGACAGGCATTTTGTCCTCTTCAAAATGCATTGGGCTGCACCAATATATATATTGGTCTGAAATCATAAAAGTTGCACACAGACTGCAAATATCAAGAATAACTAAGATGTGGTTTTATGGTCTTTAACCATAGGTAAAGGAGCACTGAAACTCGTTGTTGTAAATATGGGAGACATTCACTGATCAGCAAAGTGGGTATACGCAGATCAAAGGGTGTAAAAACACAAGTCCATCCTAGTTTAGTGCTGCACAGAAAGGTTTTCAACAACAATATTATTTTTCTTTTTGTAATAGAGTGAGAAGGAAAAAATGATTTTTTCCTCACTACCTTCTCCTCCCCACTTGCCCCACAGGAAGGTGGTGTGCGCGGAGAAAGAAAGACAGTCTTCTCCCCTTCTTTTCCCCCTCTCTGCGCTCCTTCCCTCCCCCATTTTAGAAAAAATGTTGAATGAAACAAGTCCTCCTGCCCCAAGTTTTTCTCTAAAGCTTTTCACGACCAGTTCTACTTTGAACAGAGTTTAAATTTATCTCACATAAGAGGCGAAGCTACATTTAAATGAAATTACTGTAATAAGATTTATCAAACTTTTAAAGAAAATTAAGGCACACAAAATATTTACATTAATATGTAAATCATATTCTGACTATCCCACCAAAGTGAAGAAAAGGTTGCTGTAATATTCTTAAAGCAAGATGGTAGCCAGAAAACATCTTTTGTTTGTATCTACCATCAACAGCCACAAACAAATCAATGTAACTTTTTCAAATATCAATACTGCAAGCTCCTCTTGTACCTAAAAATCAAGCTGGATTTTTTCCCTCTGTTGTACATAACCGGATAACAATAAACAAACTTTCTGGAGTCATGTGAACTGACAGGGGATGAAACAGCACCCCAGAACAGACTCCCCAAGCCAGAACCAGGCTAAGAATGGGACCCCAACTCCGGGTCCATGAATATTCTTCCAGGAGATACTGGAAGCACCCAGCAACCAGATTTCTGCGCCAGAAGAGGCCTTCACAATCCTTCAGGACATCAGTGATCAGGAGCGGATTTACCATGAAACAAACCGTGTGGTGGCATGGGGTCCCCAACGACAGGGGCCCCCCCAAAATGCAGGACAAATATCTGACAACCTGCCCCCAAATCCCAGCTGGCAGCGCAGCAGGGCTCAGGCGGGCAGGCTGCTTGCATGCGGTGGCCGGTGGCCCCACGCTGCTCCTGGAAGTGGACGGCTGCTGGCACGTCTCTGCGCGCCCCTGGCAGAGGAAGGAAGGCAGCTCCGCTCACACACAGAGACCCACTGTCCCCCTCCTGCCAAGGGGCACGCAGAGACGTGCCAGCAGCAGGGCTAAGGCAGCTCCCTGCCCGCTCTGCCTCCCTCCCTCCGTGCTGCTTCGCTCCCGTAAGCGGCCCGCATGTCCCTGTGGCGCGCGCGCGTGTGTGTGTGTGTGCCGCCCCGAGTGCAAACTCCGCAGCTCCCACTGGCTGGGAACTGTGGCCAATGGGAGCTGCGGGGGCGGCACCTGCGGGTAGCAGTGCTCGGAGACCCACTGGCCCCTTCCCTCCCCTAGGAGCTGCTGTCGGAGGGGTGTGTGTGCTGGTTGCTTTGGGAGCCACGCCGCCCAAGGTAAGCACCGTTCCCCTCCCGCTTCCCAGTCCCCTGCCCCAGCCCAGAGCCTGCACCCAAACTTCCTCCCAGAGCCCACCCCACGCAGCCCCTCCTGCACCCCAACCCCCTGCCCCAGTCAAGGTACCTCACTTTATTTTCATTTACTTCCCATTACTTATAATATAGGAGGAGTATGAAGAAAAAAAGAATGAAAAATGGGGGGGGGGAGGGGAGAGAAGATAAGAGAATGTTCTTTTTCTTGGCTGGGTCCTGAGGGGGAGGAGGGTGCGCCTGAAAATGAAGCTGTGCACAGGGCCCCATGAACTCTAAATCTGCCACTGTCAGTGATATCATCAGGCTTTGCTTTTGTAGGCTCAACTCCAGGCATTCTTTCCTTTACTGAGTGAATATTTGCTTCAATCTCATCTTCATCAGAATCCCTCTGATGACAGCCTTGCTCTACCTACCCTCCATGCTCCTTGCCCTTCTGTCCTCCCTCTTTCCTAATCACCTTTTTGATCCTTTATCCTTAAATATCTCCCATCCTTCTATCCCTTCTCCTATTCCTTCACACTTGCTAACTCATTTCCTCCTACCTTACACAGACACGACTAAAAAAAGTGTAATGAACAGCATGCAAACCACCACTCTGCTTTGCTTATGTGCTGCATTCCTGTCCTCCTCCCTCCCTTTATCTTTATCTATTTAGGCTGTAAGCTCTTTGGGGCAGAGACTGTCTTCCTGTAAGCTTGTATTGTAACTAGAATAATGGGACTCCAAATCATGATGTTGCCTCTGGACACTACTGTGTCATAAATAATAAATATTGTTAATATTGCTATTGAGGCACTAGGCAGAACATAACACAATTTGTTATTATTTAGCTACATTGACTCTATAGTACTGACACCACTGAAAATGGGGAGTGGGGGATGTCAGTAAATCAAGAAGGTAAGACATAGAAAATGATCAGTTTTATAACACATACAGTACTTGCAAGGAGGTAGGGGCAAGGTTACCATGGAAACTGTTCAGTAGGGATCTTTTCTCACCTGTTTGACTGGAGCTGTGATTGCATGTGATTGAGGCTTAAGTGGTTGCTGGTTTTTCAATTTTTGGGCCTGTTCTTGTTCTTTTGCTAACTTTTGCTTCTCTTCAAGTGTAAGTGACATCTTTAAAACACAAAGCATTAGCATTAACACTGGATAGTATGTCTCATGACTAGTTACCTAATTTATAATATATTAAATCTAAATGACAGTGTTAGCTATTTAATGATACAGTACATACTTTTTATTCCAAAAATAAACTTCATTTCAAAACTGGCTAATGTTGCTAAGTGACAAAAACTTATCATAAAAACCTATCACATTTAGAAAACCCAAGTAGTTAAAAAGCAAGGAAATGAATTGTTAAGGATATCATAAAATTAACACTGCTCACATAATTTCTTATTGAGTATGAAGAAACGGCTATTTCATCACAACACAGCTGCCTTACCTCTGACCCATAATTTGCTGGGTTTTAAAAAAAATCAACATATTTTATGTAGGTATTCTATTTCAAGGAATAAATGAGAAATATCAACTAATACCATCTGACAAAAAAAATTATGAAGTCATTGTAATTGGTGTTTCTTGGAAGAATTGGTGTTTCTTGAGAATAATGTATGTGTAGTTGATAGCAAAATCTAAACTACCAATTTACTGTAAAATTAAGTTTGTATCTGTGGATTGTCATTTGAGTCTCATCAGTGTGTCATTAATATCAGGGCCGGCTTTAGGAATACCCGGCGGCGGTCCGGGTCTTCAGCGGCACTTCGGCGGTGGGTCCTTCACTCGCTCCGGGTCTTCCGCGGCACTGAAGGACCCGCCCCCGAAATGCCACCGAAGACCTGGAGCGAGTGAAGGACCTGCCGCCGAAGTGCCGCCGAAGACCCAGACCGCTGCCGAGTAAAAATTAAAAAGGCGCCTAAGTTAGGCGCTCTTCTTTAGGGCGCGGGGCTCTCTGAGGCGCAGGGCCCGAATCGGGGGAATCGGCCTAAAGCTGGCCCTGATTAATATAACAGAGACAAGGTAGGTAAGGTAATATCTTTTACTGGACCAACTTCTGTTGCTGGAAGGTACAAGTTTTTGACCTACACAGAGTTCTTCGGGTCTGATGAAAGAAATCAGAGTGTCTGAGGCTAAGAAATCAGAGCATCTGGGCAAAATATAAATTAACAGTTGGCACTCTGACTTCTTTCCCCAGACCTGAAAAAGAACTCTGTAGTTTTTATTTTCTTCCCTACAGTAACTCCTCACTTAAAGTCGTCCCGGTTAACATTTTGTTGTTACATTGCTGATCAATTAGGGAACATACTCGTTTAAAGTTGTGTAATGCTCCCTTCTAAGGTCGTTTGGCAGCTGCCTGCTTTGTCTACTGCTTGCAGGAAGAGCAGCCCATTGCAGCTAGCTGGTGGGGGCTTGGAACCAGGGTAGACTGGCAGCCCCCCCATCAGCTCCCTGCTCCCCTAAGTTCCCTGTGCAGCTGCTGCCTGCAGTTCAGCTGTGTCCCTCCTCCCACTGCCATGTGCTGCTCCTGCCCTCTGCCTTGGAGCTGCTCCCCGAGACTCCTGCTTGCTGTGCCAGGAGGGGAGGGAAGGAAGAGGGGGGCTAATGTCAGGGTGTCTCCCTCCCCCCTGCTCCTGCACCCCGCTTACCCCATCTTCCATAGAGCAGGGGGGACACACCAGGGCTGCAGTCTCAGCAAGCTGATCTAATTAACAAGGCAGTGTACTTAAGGGAAATGCGTATATCTCCCTCCATTCCTGCTGCCTTGCAGAGTGAGAGAGTTAACCCTTGAGGGCTCAGCCAATTGCTAGTTCATCATTTAGCAGGAAGGGAAATATCCCACCCTCTGACACCTCCACCTCAACCAAGCTTCACAATCATCATCACTGTGTACCAGTATTAAATTGTTTGTTTAAAACTTATACTGTGTGTGTGTATATTTTTATATATATATATATATAAATAAATAAAATAATATATAGTCTTTTGTCCGGTGAAAAAAATTTCCCTGGAACCTAACTGCCTCATTTACATTAATTCTTATGGGGAAACTGGATTCGCTTAACATCGTTTCTCTGAAAGTCGCATTTTTCAGGAACATAAACTACAACGTTAAGTGAGGAGTTACTGTATCTTGTCTCTCTGTGACCAACATGGCTACTACAACACTACAAACAAATTAACAGAAGGCAGAGGGCAGGAGCAGCACATGGCAGTGGGGGGAGGGACACAGCTGAACTGCAGGCAGCTGCTGCACAGGGAACTTAGGGGGCTGCCGGTCCACCCTGGTTCCAAGCCCCCACCAGCTAGCTGCAACGGGCTGCTCTTCCTGCAAGCAGTGGACAAAGCAGGCGGCTGCCAAACGACCTTAGAAGGGAGCATTACACAACTTTAAACGAGCATGTTCCCTAATTGATCAGCAACATAACAACGAAACAACATTAACTGGGACGACTTTAAGTGAGGAGTTACTGTAATAGAAAACGCAAATCAACTAACTACATTTTGCTATAAAGTTTTGTTGGTGGTGAAGTAGGAAAGAAACTAGTTGACAATATTACTTGCTGCCTATCCTGCTTGTGTCACAAACAATATCAGTTATCAACAAAACTGTTTCAAAGAGACTCAGAAACATAATGAAGAATTTAAACATTTTTCAATGCTCCTCACCATGTGAACATTCAGAGTGCAGTGCTGAGCACAACTGGTCAGTTATTTAGCATTAAAATATATAAGTGTTTACATGCATACTTTTTCGTACAACACAGGCCTTTGGCTTTCAACATATTTGCCTTTTACACAAGGTATTTACATAACAAAACACCTTCAGAAAAAGAGCTTACCTTTTTCTGTTTTGATGACAGCCCATTTTCTTTACTATCTGATCCACTAGTTGGAACGTCATTTCCAGTATTGTTAAACATCTTGTCAATCTGTTTAAATTGAAAAAGATTATCCATGAACAATTTTACATTTTGTAATTTATGATTAAGATAAACCAAATATTGTAGAGAATTTCAAATTTGATGCCTGTGGATAACCAATGCAAAATATTGTCTCTTACCTGATTACCTGTACTATTAGATTTTGTCTCTTCAGATACGTTCATTTGATTAGTTATATCCAAAGATCTGTAGTACAGAGTACAAATATTACAAAAAGATGGCTCCCAGTCAAAGCAATGTCCCTAATTCAGCAAAGTTCATAATTCTAAGAGAATTAACACAGAAGAAAACTTTTCTTCTTATCACAACACTGTTGTATTTAGAGTGAGCGCGCATGCATGAGACAGCTTAGAAAAGGCAGTATTTAAAATTGTAGTGAGTTATTTAATGCCAATTTCAAATACTCTTTGTTTCTCTCCTAAACAGGAGTAGATATGTATAGCTAGTTTAGCTTAATTTGATTTAAACCCATGGTAAATCCCATACAATATCCCTAGAGTCTTCAGTAAGTTTTGTTTTTGAAAGAACTCAATTCTTCTCCAATGTAATTTTTCAGTCCTCAACAATTACTGAAAACCAACAGTTTAAGTATATTTTCATACTCCAGAACTATACTAAATAATGGAGCTCTATAGTGGATTACCATATTGCATGAATAAGCTAAGAAACTGGGGGAAAAAAATCACATTGACAAATGTGGTTTATTTTTATTACAATACTTTGCAGTAAGTGTACAGTATTATATTTTATAAAACTAATTATTTTTTTAGTTATAATACAAGACCTCAATACAGGACTCAAATCTTTGCTGAGAAAGTGGTGGTGCGGGGGTGGGGGGGGAAGAGAAGAGATGGATAAGACTGCCCATTTGTGAGAGTGATCAATGATTGAATTAGGAACTAGTGAGGCTCTACTGCAGGGATCAGCAACCTTTGGCACGCGGCTCGCCAGGGTAAGCACCCTGGCAGGGCGGACCGATTTGTTTACCTGCTGCATCCACAGGTTTGGCCGATTGCGGCTCCCACTGGCCTTGGTTCGCCGCTCCAGGCCAACTGGGGCTGCGGAAAGAGGCAGCCAGCACATCCCTCGGCCCGTGCCACTTCCCACAGCCCTCATTGGCCTGGAGCGGCAAACTGTGGCCAGTGGGAGCCGGGATCGGCCGAACCTGCGGACGCGGCAGGTAAACAAAGCAGCCTGGCCCGCCAGGGTTCTTACCCTGGCGAGCCATGTGCCAAAGGTTGCCTATCCCTGCTCTACTGCATGTGCTGCTACAGCTAGAGATGTTTCACATTTGCTCATACAGGTGGAACTGAAATTCATTACAACCCACACACTTACTTTTGCTGTTCTTGCATAATATGAAGTTGTTCAAGTTTGGTCTTATGTTCAACCTCCAATCTACTAAGCATATCTTTTATGACAGAAATGAAGGAACTGAACTATAAAGGAAATGGTGAAAAGTTAAGATTTTGCATTGTGATGGTAAATATATAAAAAAATGCATTGTGTTCTAACATTATTTATTGCTAGAAATCCAGTTATATAGAACTTTAAACAATTGTTCAGCATGTTTATAAAACCTGTATTAGGTATGCACAGATACAGTAATTTTTCTAAAAGCCTGTTAAGTTTATCTGTTTTTGCTACTTTGCATGTGGTATACCCCCACTATGAGCAGAGTAATGTGGTGCTGAAACTGAAATACATCACAGCAAGTAGACAGTGACAGGGTCTCTCAGGCAGCTCCAAGTAAAAGATGGGGTGTTACTTAGACAATTTACTTTCTAAAAATTTCCTCTTAAGAATTCATTTTTCTTTTTTTTTTTTTTTTTTTTTTTTAATACAGCAATATATTTGCATTGCTACACTACTGGCAACACTTGCAAACAAAGCTGCGAGTGGAAACATTAAGAATGCATTCTGGCCTTTGATTTGTATTGTATTAATATTAGGTGGTTAATTACATTACCAGGACATTTAGAAGACATTGCAATATTACTCCATGGCCTTTTTGTTTCTGATGCTTTGATTAAATCCCATTACATTTTGTCCTGAATATTTTTGTGGCATATTTGAATGCTATCATATGTTTGCTAATGTAAAATTTTCCATCAGCCTTATAGAGTTAATCTTGTTTAAATTTTTCCATAGTGTTTATAGTCTACATCAATCATCTGCAAACTCAGACAGGTTTGTAGTCAGTCTCTTGATTAAATCATTGTCTATAGTGTAAAAACAACAGATGAGTAGAAGGAGTATGGGTCAGGGAAGTGACATGCTGACTTCAGTTCCTCTATTTTTAGTCCCACGGTTTGAAATATTTACTTACTTTTTTGAGTGCTGACATTCTGGCTAGAAAACCAGGAATGCTCTAAAATGCCAGAAAGTAAACGTAGGTCTTTTAGCTGTTATTCTGAACTACGTACTCTCTCATGCTTCTATTAACTATAAGTCAAGACTGTCAGCTGACAATTTCTTACATTTGAAGGTATGTAATTCAGTTACTAAGCTATACTGGATTTTATTGGCAAATATTAGTGAAAATATTCTAGGAGAAACTTTAATTTAAGATAGAGTAAGAGGAAAACTGAAGATCTAGTGGTAACTAATGGATGCAACAGGTTTAAAGATGAAAACATCACATTTAGAATCTTAAATTAGAATTACTGACCAGATCCACTATACAAACACTGCTCTTTAAGCCTATCAATTCTGACAGTATCACGGGAAGCCTTTATCATTGATTGTAGTCACATTGAAATGCACTAACATATAAACTATTTTGTCAGAGAACTATGTTAATTTTGTATCTCCTTCTAGACCAGCTCATTAGGTAAAAGTGTGCAAAAACAATTAAAACTGAGTTCATACCTGATTGAAATTAAGATTGTTCTCAATACTAAGAGGAATAAGATGGGGTAATACTTTTCCCGCAAGTTGTTCTTTGGTAATTCCCAACTTCTTATGAGTAAATGTACATTTGTAAATACCTGATATAGAACATTAAAATAGCAAGATCGGTAGTTTAGTGGTTAATACTGTGAATGAGCTCCAAGAAAACTATACATACTGTATGTACTGATAATAAAACTGAACACAGGACTCAAAAGTCAGAGTACCAGGGAAAATCTGTACATAAACTGATTCATTTGCAACTAAACACAAAACTAGAAAAAACAAAGGCGAAGGACTGAAGTATTGAACTCCAGTGTAATCTGGGCACAAAAAGACAGGGTTTCCTAACAGGGGCAGCATTTCAGATTTTGGTGGTGGTGAGGGGAGGGAGGAGGGAGGAAGAGGAGACGGGGACTTTAACCATGATTCCAGGGGCTATTTAGGCACCTGAAAACTCTAGGATTTGTGTGGGGTTTTGGGCAGATAATAACGTAGAAATTAGTGGATAGTAGCACCGTATCTAATGCCTATATAAAAAAAGAGAATTAAATAAATATTAGACCCACTCAGCTCGAATACTAACATGTTCTCACACCTTTTGTCAGGTCACTTAAGAGAGACTGGTTAGGTTTAAAATTTTAATACATATTCTTACTTTGTTACTAACTTTTGAATACAACAATTGAAACAATCGTAGAAAAATCTAGATTACTTTCTATCACTTTTTTGCAGTTCACCAAGCTTGGAATAGATCATTTAACTTTGGAAACAACCTACTAGGCCAAGGCCCTGTGAGTTTATACTGCACCTGCCTGGGGCTCTAGGGGTTCTACTTCCATTTAAAGGAGCGTTACTTTCCAGAAGGCTCTTAAACACAACACTACAGTGATTGAGTTGCAGTTCTCACAGGAGAATATTTAAAACCAAACACCAAGAAAATTGCACATTTTAAAGTTGAGAACAAAATTGAAACTTCTGAGGTAGATCAGGGGCACTGCTGGCAGCAAAAGAAAATAAACAGGCACAGGAGCTCTGGGCAACTCTTCCTCTTGAAAGAAAGTTGGAGGGTCAAACCTTCTAGTCCTTAATCCAGTAAAACTTCTATTGCCACCAGTGCCTCCACTCATAGATATTAACATGTGCTTAATAACTATACACTTCATACTTAAATATCTAAGCCATCTTATCCAGGGCTACACATTTTATACACATTGGCTCAGGGACTACATTTTCTGGCATATTCTGAACACTGCTGAGCACACAGATGGTCCCCAGTGAATAATACAAAATCAACGTCATAACAGTCGACTTTTTTGACTCTGTGGATGCAATTTCTGTTCTTTGTTCTGGAATTGGCCTGAATACAGCTGAAACCCTAAGAATTTGAGGCATAAACACATTTGATACTTATATGACACTTTCTGATTCCTTCCTTTTCTTGAACTCAGAACAAAAAATGACAGAACAAAATGGTTTTTCTTTAAAATGTAAAATTTCACAGCAGCCATTGCTCTACAACCCAGCATGGGGCAGAACCGGTCACCCCTTGGGAGTTAAGTGATCTCCTCTCATCTGACTCTCATTCTCCATCCTTCCTGACCTCAGTGCTGCTTTTTATGCTGTCAGCCATGACATCCATCCCAGCCACCTGGGACCATTTGCTGGAGTCTCATTGAACTGGCCACCTTGGTTTTGCTTCCATCTATCAGAGTCCTCTTTTTTTTGCAGCATGCAGGAAAGAGATAGGCTGGTCTGCTGGATAGGGAGCTATCCCTGAAAGACCTGGGTTCTAACTCCCCCCCTAGACTTCCGGAATGATCTCAGGCCAGTGCCTTAGGGACAGAGTTTCAAAACCTTTCAGGTACCAAAGGTGCAGCTAGGCATCTAGTGGGGTTTACAAAGCACCTAACCTTCTAGGCACTTTTGAGAATCCCACTAGGTGCTTAAATACCTTTGAAAATCTGGCCTTTAGTCTTTGTGTGCCTTACTGCCCCTTCTGTATAATGGGGATAACAGCACTGCTCTACCTCACCGAAGGGCTGTGAGGAGAACTAGGTTAGACATTGTGAGGTGCTCAGATACTATGTTGATGGGACCACATAAGTACCACAGGTAGAGTGGGAACTTCTCTATACCACTACTATCCCTTCCCTTGGGTTTGGGCCCTTCTTTTCACCTATGCCCCCAAATCTCCCCCCTTTCTGAATGTAACCTTGGCTCAGAGGGCTTGGCTATGTTCTCTCTAAAAACAACCCCTCCTCCTTCCCACCCACGCACTTTCCCAGGGACTCCTGTTTTACAAGCTAAACTTCCAGATCCTTAATTTAATCACCAGCCCTTTCTTATCTTTAATCACCCTGCCTCTGTAAACAAAATACTGACTCTCTGCCCCAGCTCTCCTCTGTAGAACTTACATTTCACACTAACTCAGGGGTGAAAGTAACATAAAAGGTTTACCAGTACAGGGGCCCAGCTCTGGGCCCCGGAAGGGGCTGGGCCTCGGGCAGAAGGGGCGGGACTGGGGGGTCAGCCTCCCCCAGCCAGCTCTTCATCGCTGCCCAGCCCATGCTGCCTGGGGCTCCGGCGGCAATTTAAAGGGCCCGGGGCTCCGGCCACTGCTGCGGTAGCAGTGGCCGGTAGCCCCGGGCCCTTTTAAATTGCCGGGCCCTGGGGAAGCTGCCCCTTTTGCTCCCGCCCTGTGGTGGCCCTGCTGTTAGGGTCCCTATTATCAGGGCCACTGACAGCAGGGGGCAAAAGAGGCAGCTACGTTAAAGCGCTGTCGTTGGCTGTGTACGGGCCTGTACCAGTGGCCACTTCTTACCGGTATGCTGTACTGGCCCACTTTCACCTCTGTACTAACTGTAGTTAAGAGCTCCACCTGGGAGCTTGCACACCTCCGGTACAAAACTCGGGGGGGAAGGGCTCCCAGCCCCACTCAAATGGTACCTTGACTTCCTAACATTCAGAACAAAAGAAAGGAGTAACTGGGTGGCTCAAGGTAACTTCTTGTGGCTGTTGAACTCAAGTGATACCCATATACTGAGAGTTCATGACCTGCCCTTGGCAACCGTGAAAGTGTTGTGATCTACTTGCTTTCTGGAGGGGTTCCTTCTGGAAGCTTAGGCCTGTATTAATCAAGAGGTCTGACTACATAATCCAAAAGGTCTGCACAATTTATTTCTGCACACCACTCCAAAATTAAGGCTTTATTCTCCACGGTGTCTGAGCAGAGCTTGGGCACAGTGCAGATGGGACGTCAACTGGGAGAGAATCATGACTCCCTTATTCTCAGCCAGCCGAGATCAGTCATAGCCGAGCCTCATTATATGCCCCTCCAGATATGCCCCTGCTCGCCTGCCCCCTCCCCTTGCTGGGGGATATAAGTGGTGGAGCCACCCATGGCAATGGAGAGGAGGAATTCTCCTGGAACATTTTCCAGTCAGTCAGTTTCAGCTCATTTTGTGTAACCTAAGTGTCACACAGTAAACTTGGTGGATCAGAGAACCCAGACCATTAGCATCCAGAAAGAAACTGCTTAAGAGAAATGCAACTGGGCGGTGTAAGGGGATTCTTTGCTGGACAGCAAAGCTATTTGGAAAGTCAGATTTTACAATTTAACTGCTGAAGAGGAAACAGGAGGTGACAGTGATTTATAGTGCTCTCAGGCAGATTCAGATAGCCCCTGCAGCTGTGGAGACCAAAGGACCCATAGACACTCCATAGCTCAACGGCTGTCGAGGATACTTGTGACTGAACTGAGTCCATAGACTACACATACATATAATAGAGAACAGAGGAGCATTGGGAATACAAAAAGGAAATCTCTGAGAAGTCAGAAACAGCTAATAGGCTTTTACATAAATTGTTAGCTATGGAACACATACAGCACTTCCAATATGCCATATAGAGATTACAACAACAAAACCGTAACAAGAAGGGAAATTAAATATTCATTACCTAAAATTCCCATAAGCACTGCAGGTTCCTTGGATGGAATTTGTTGTAGAAAGGGTAGAATGTCATCAAGTACAAACCACTTATCCAAATATTCCAAAATCTTTCCTAAGCACACTAAGGAGTTCACGCGGACCTATTAAATATGTAAAAGAAGTTAAGTAACATCTCTAACCTCTATTTTTGACTAAAAATTAACACTTTAAAAGGCATGAATTTTAAATCTTTATAAAAACAGATTAAATACAAAAATCTTAAGTTCTATTTTAACAAAAGTGTTAAGACAAAGACTAAAATAACTGGACAAACTACATTTTTACAAGATTGAAATAGATAGGACCCAATACACAGTTATGATTAAACATTATTGTAAAAATGGTATCTTGAACCACAGAATCACAGAAACGCTAGAAGGGACCTTGAGAAGTCATCAAGTCCAGGCCCCATACTAAAACAGGACAAAATAAACCTGGACCATCCCTGACAGGTGTTTGTCCAACCAGTTCTTAAAAGCCTTCCACAACCTCTCTTGGAAGCTTATTCCACCGCTTAACTACTCTTATAGTTAATATGTTTTCCTAATAAGTATCCTAAATCTCCCTTGCTGCAGATTAAGCCCATCACTTCTTGTCCTCCTTTCAGTGGACATGGAGAACAATTGATCACAGTCCTCTTTTATAACAGCCTTTAACAGGTCTGAAGACAGTTATTAAGATCCCCACTTCAGTCTTCTTTTCTCAAGACTAAACATGCCCAGGTTTTTTTTAACCTTTCCTCATAGGTCAGGTTTTCTAAATCTTTTATCACTTTATTGTTCTTCACTGGACTTTCTGCAATTTGTTCACATCTTTCCTAAAGTGTGGCACCCAGAACTGGATGCTATACTCCAGCTGAGGCCTCAACAGTGCCGAGCAGAACACAACAGTTACCTCCCATGTCTTACGTACAACAGTCCTGTTAATATATCTCAAATTATTAGCTTTCATTCCACAACTGCATCACATTGTTGACTCATGGTCAATTTGTGCTCCACTATAACCTCCACATCCTTTTCAGCAGTCCTACCACCTCACAAGTTATTCCCCATTTTGTAGTTGTGCGTTTGATTTTTCCTTCCTAAGTGAAATACTTTGCACTTGTCTTTATTGAATTTCTTTATTGAATTGTAGATTTCTGAGTAATTCTCCAATTTGTCCACGTTGCATTTTGTAAGCACATTTTCTGCTCCATTATCCAAGTCATTAATGAAAATACTGAATAGTACTGGAACCCAGGATTGACTTTCCAGTGGGACTCCACTACATACGCCCTCCCAGTTTGACAGTGAATCACTGATAACTACTCTGAGTATGGTCTTTCAAACAGCTGTGCACCCACCGTATAGTAATTTCATCTAGTCACATTTCCCAAGTTTGCTTATAAGAATGTAATTTGAGACTGTCAAAAACCTTACTAAAAATCAAAATACATCATGTCTACTGCTTCTCTCCTGCACCTCTACCCACCAACTAGGTCAGTTACCCTGTCAAAGAAAGAAAGTAGGTTTTTAGCATGATTTGTTTTTGACAAATCCATTCATCCACCCATCTTATTTTATTCTAGGTGCTTACAAATTGATTGTTTAATAATTTGTTTCAGTATCTTTCCAGGTATCAAGGTTTGGCTGACTGGATTCCCTGTCCTCTTTACTCCCCTTTTTAAAGATAGTTACTCTCGGTTTGCCCTTCTCCAAGTCTTCTAGGACCTCACCCATCATCCAGGAGTGTTCAAAGATAATTTAGAGAATTTTTCACTTGACCAGAGCTCAGAGAGCCGGGAAGCGATGGTTCAGAGATTTCTTCAGCTAGTTCCTGAAGTACTCTAAGTTGAATTTTATCAGGCCCTGCTAACTTGAATGCATCTAATTTATCTAAATATTCTTTAACCTATTCATTCCCTATTTTAGCTTGCGTTCCTTCCTCCTTGTTGTTAATATTAATTGTGTTGAGTGTCCAGTCAGCATTAAGATTGGCTGAGTTGTTTAATGCCTTCTTGATGTCATCAGTTATTAGCTCTCCTTCCCCGCTAGTAGAGAACTTACACTTTCCTTCATCTTTCTCTTGCTCCTAATGCATTTAAATAAGCTCTTCTTATTGCCTTTTTTGTCCCTTTCTAGGTGTAAACTCATTTTGTGCGGCCTTTCTGATTTTGTTCCTACATCCTTATGCTATTCTTTTATACTACTCCTTATCAATTCATCCATGTTTCCACTTTTTGTGGAATTCCATTTTGATTTTCAAGTCATCCAAGAGCTTCTGATGGAACCACATTCTTCCGATCTTTCCTTCGCATTGGGATAACTTGCAGTTGTGCCTTTAATAAAGTCTCCTTGAGAAACTGCCAACTCTTCTGAACTTCTGTATCCCTTAGATTTTCTTCCCTTGGGACCTTACCTACCAATTCTCTGAGTTTGTTAAAGTTTACTTTTTTGAAGTTCAATCTTCTTATTCTGTTGCTCTCAACTCCTTCCTTTCCTTAGAATCTTGAAATCTATCATTTCATGCTCATTTGCACCAAAATTGCCTTTCACCTTCAGATTCATACCCAATTCCTCCCTGTTGGTCACAATCAAGTCTAATATGGCTGTCTCCCTCATTACTTCTTCCACTTTCTGAAACAAAAACTTGTCCCCAATACATTCCAAGAACTTATTGGAAATTTTGTGTTTTGCCTTATTACTTTTCAACAGACGTGTGGGTGAAGTCCCCCATTACTACCAGGTCTTGTGTTTTGAATATTTCCATGTTCCATGCAGTGTATATCCTCCACAACCCATTTGTTTTGCTGAAATGTCAGAACAAGTTTATTTTAATTTCCAGTATTAAACATAACCTGCTTGGGGAAAACCAACACATTGAAAACATTCCATTTTGCAAGAGACCGATTCTAATACTAGCTCTTTCATTATCAAAAATTTAGAGTAGGAAAATATAGACTGTACTACTCTTCAGTACAGTTCATCGACTTGTGTTTGATATAGTCCCCCAACAGAAAGTGTATTAGAATTAAACTAATTTTACACTTGATACTATGCACTAGACAAACGATGATAGAATTTAGTGTTCTGTTGTGATATTGCCTTTGCAGTGATCATGAACAATACACCCTTGCTGTAGTTTACTAAATTAAGCAGATGTCACTTAGAGTGATACAGAACCATAAGTGGTGCAACTCACAATGTAGAAACTGGAGGAACCTGCAGTATCCTGCAGGACTCCTTCCCACACATCAAAGCTTATGTCTTGGATTTCCTCAAAGAATAAGGGTATGTCTATACTACCCGCCGGATCGGCGGGTAGCGTGCAATGTATCGGGGATCGATTTATCACGTCTCGTCTAGACGCGATAAATCGATCCCCGAATCGATGCCCGTACTCCACCTCGGCAGGAGGAGTAAGCAGTCTCGACTCGCTGCCGTGAGGACGGCCAGGTAAGTCGAACTAAGATACTTCGACTTCAGCTATGAATAGCGTAGCTGAAGTTGCGTATCTTAGTTCGAAACCCACCGCCCCCTCCCGCTAGTGTAGCCCAGGCCTAAGACATTTCCCATGGTTGCTAAGATGATTTAAACACTGCTGCTTTGCTTCAAAAACCTTTTCTGAACATAAATAAGGCTCAAGCAAATATTAATAAAGACAGGATTTTTTATAATTGGTGTCTAAAAGTTAGGATCCTAAGTCCATATTTAGGTACCTAAGTTACTTGATGGGTACTTCATTTTGAAAAATATCTCCATTCTAATCAGAGAATCAAATAAGGCTTAATGCAACTCAAAAAGTATGTGTGAAATCTACTTAACTGAAATGGCATATTACTTTATCAAACAGACTCAACTCTGAATGCAAGAATACCTAATCACTCCAATTATTCACATTTTTGACAGGACATATCTAAAATGGGGAATTGGGGGGAGAAACCCAGAAAACTACTTTGAAAGTTTATAGAATTCATATCAAGGAGCACTAGACAATTACTTTTCACATTAGCTAGAGTTTTCATATAACAAAAAAGTATACAAAGGAAAAATCGAGAACAGTTCTTTTTAAAAAACACAAGAAAGTTTTGCATTACTTAAAACACAAGTGATTGCATATTGGTTACTGAGCAAACGGCAATACTTTTAGAAAAACCTGAAGTGAATGCACAGTATTATGGTAGGGGTTGCTCTGTTTTCTGTACAAGGCTCTTGCTTTCCTGCAGCATGTTGATAACAATTAAAGCAACAACAGAAAAGCCAAAATTATCTGAGCACTATTTTAATGTTTTGGGAGTAGGGGATGGAGAGATCAAGAACATTAGTTTACTTACAGCAAGAGAGGAAGTTTGCAAACATGCATTTTTAATTCTTGGTATTAATGCATTTTTCATTGATGGGTAGTCTATTAGGTTGGCAAACGTAGGAATTATGTTAAGGCAAAGTTCCTGTAAATAAACAACCATAGGAGTTTTTAAAAACTTCACTTTACAGTAAAATTAGTAATTATATATATATGTGTGTGTGTGTGTGTGTGTACACCCACACACGCACATACTGTAAGAGCAAAAATACAGGATTAGTTAAAACATTCTCAATACATCCTCTTCAACAAACAATAAACGTGGTCACCTAATTGATCCCTAACTTATTTTTAAAAAGCTAGAACTTCAAATAGTCTGATTTACTAAAAACATATATTTTTATATTATTGATACACCATTCAGTTACTATTATTACATGCTATATTAATGAAAACCACACTGGTATTACTACTATTACTACTACTACTAATAAAGCATAATTTGAGGATTCATGCCTGGAAAGCACTTTGAATGAAAAGAGCTACATTCGTGTCATAACTACAAAATATTTGGATCAAAAAATGTCTTATATTTTCACAAAGCAGCACTTTACAGAGAGCTAGTTTTTAATCACAGAAAATCAAAGAATTAAAATATATATTTCACTTGATTTGTTACATGAAAATTAAATTCACATCAACAACATATGTGACAGCACCTAAAATACCACCTGACTACTACAAAAAGTGTCTCCACAGTAAAGTAGTATCCAATTAGAATAATTATTTAGACTAAATTATGAATAGTAAAACTAACCTAAGATATAGAGACAGGTAAAACCTGGTTAATTTAACTCCAGTTATCCAAAATTTTAGTTAAGCCACAGGTCAGTTACTTTCCCCCATGACTTAAGCTTTGCAGGGCTGAAGCCCCCATTTATCCAAGGATTTTGTGGAGGCTTCTGGATAACTGGTGTTTGGCAGTACATAAAAAGTAAATTCCAAAAGGCAAAAGACAAAGCAATAAAAGCATTAAATACTTATTTAAGCAACAGGCCTGAGCAGAAAGTGTCACTCTGACAAAATTTTTCATACACTGGAAAACAGTGAATCAACAACATTTGGCATGATTAGGTGAACATCCATGTTTTATTAACTGATCTCTTTCTAGTCAGGTAGGGAGAAAGTCCAACAACACACTCTGGAAATAATGCATAATCCTTCAGGTATGTTGCACAAGTTTTAACTTCCTCTTCTAAAGAGAGAAAAGTTGTAGGGTATACATAATTTGACAGTATCTCTTCACAGCAAAGAGGAAAGTTTTATACACTATTAAAGAAAAAACATAGTTACTACACCTGAATCTGAATTGAAGGTGCTTCTAAGGCTCTATAAACCATTGGAAGGACACTATTCTTTATTTCATCTGGTGGAGTCTTGGTTAGGAGCAAGTCCATTTTTTGCAAGAAAATCAACAAAATCTATAAAACAAGACAACAAAATGTTATGAATACCACAGATTTTAATTCTGCAACATTACACTTTCAATTTGAAGTTTATTATAGCAATATAGTTTTGAAACATTAAAAAAAAGCTCTTATAACAGAGTCAATGGTATTTACACTCACCATGTTGCTAGCCTGAAGGCATGGAAGATAAAAAGACACTTAGACATGTTATAGTATTTTTGAAACAGCAAATAAAAATTAAAACAAATATACTGACCTTTTTAAAAAAAAAATCCACAAGGCTTGTGGATTTTTGTCTTATAATTCCAAAATAGTCCATTATTAAACTTTAGCTATAGAAACATACTCTTGACATACATACCATTATGGAAATCACTAGTTTCCAAAGAAACCTGGAGTCAAATTCTGCTCTCAGATGTGTATGTGCAATTCCCAATTACTTCAACTGGAATTGTACATATGCGTCAGAAGGCAGAATTTGGACCTTACTGAAGGAGCACAACATTACAGTGACAGTAGGTTTATTCCTAAAGTGAAACCACACTTGACATAAAAATGTGTAATTCCCCAAGCAAAATACGGTACTTCACCAAGGTAACTTCATTTCTTCTTTTGAAAAGCAACACTAGAACTTGTGATAAAAACCCCAAAACCCAACAGCTTTTCAAGAAGGCAGAAAGGGTTGAGGAAGTGTCTGTTTGGACATTTGACATACACCATCAGATTGCCAGACACACCGCCATCTAATCATCTGAAAATTCTTGAGACGGGGAAAAAAACCCAACCTTTACCATAGATTCCTATGTTCCCTCTTTGGGCTTGTCAATATCAGGGGAGAGAAAAAAAAAAAAAAAAGTGGTAGCAAATTTATCCAGTATTGTTTAGTCCTGCTCAGAACAGGTCTGATGGTAAATTACACATCTGATTTTTGTTACTCTAGACTCACCATATCAATACAATACAATCAATACAATATTACGCTTAATGAAAGGTCTATTGCCCCTTTAGAGAGGGAATGGTCTGTCATGCTAAAATTGCATTCCAGACCAGTCAAGGGCAAGTGTGCTACAGAGGCAATGGGCTCAGTGCATTTCAGGTGACGAAATGCCTTGCTTCACTCAAGACTGATCTCTCTGGACAGCTACAGAGCAGAACTGAGGTTTGAAAGTTTGCGTTAGATTGGAACAAGGAAATGAATAGAAGATTGATTAGGATTTTGTCAGGAAAAACCTTGAAGGAAAAAAGATGAGATTTACTTTTAAACAACATTAATCTACCTGGATTGGTTCTTGCTGTTTAAAAACAGGGCCAAGATCAGGCAGAATTAGCTTGATGTACTCTTCTTTGGTGCACTCCTCAGCAATCAGCAGAACATTAGGCAAAACAAAGGGTACCATATCAGGGTTCACAAACTCTGAGGTCAAGTAAGGCAAAATTCGCTGCACTATAACACGCTGAGAGAGAAAGACAAAGAGGTGTGGTTGCTTTGCATTGCAATAAAATACTATTTTCTAATTTTATTTCAGCAAAGATTTTTTCGTAAAAGTCAGGTTTATACAATAGTAGACAAATACATCAGTTCTGAACCTTACTTTAAGAGTAAACTCGAGTTTTATATACTACTGTGCTTTCTTTTCTGTTTGTATTTAAGACAGTCTGTCCAAATGGACTCTCAATCATCTTAATTTAATGCCACTTAAAAGCTATTATAACTTAATGAGGCTGTATATAGGACTTAAAATCATGAATACAAATTAAGGAAGCCACATACGATACTGTTTTTCTAAAGACTAGATAAAGAGTTATTAGCATAAAATTCAGCTTTTGCAGGACTCCAAGGTTCACTAGCTTTGAAGCCTGTAATCACAATACAAAAGAGAAGTACTTCCTTCCTACAGCTGAACGCCACCTCCAACCTTTGGTTCTACTTCTGCTTGCAAGAATCTTGCAGACATATCTAGCCTGGACAAGCATATGATAAATGGCCACTGATGGTGATGATTCTAGAAAGCCTACTCATTGAGATGTATTTAACATTGATATACTACCACCAATAGAAATGGGGGGAAAATAAAAACTTAAGGCTGAATAGCTTCCCTGTGTCTTCCTGCCTTCTTTCATAACTCTTGGAAACTTTGTCCAACTCCAAAATGTCACAAAAATAATTAATCAATGGAGAAAATTGATAAGTAAAAAAAAAAAAAAAAAAGACATTACTCAACATTAGATCTTCCTGCAGTAGGATTGTACTTGTATTTGTAAATTGTATTTGTAAATAGTTCAAAAAGAAAGTTTAATTAAAGATGAAGAAATTTAATCACACGGGTCACAAATGTTATTCTATTATGTGGTAAACAAGTATTTTTTCCTTCTTATTTTCTTTGGGACTACAAAAACTAAGAGATTAACAAAAAAGAGAAGGGGATGGGGCCAGTGTTATCACACCATCTGCCTGCCATACAGGAGAAGAAATTTGGACTGACAGTCTCTAGCTTTCCAGGCTGTCTGAGAGCACGAAAAGCACAATGGGCCAAGTCCTCTTGGGGAAGAAAGCTTTGCATCATTGAGCAATAGAGAAGAACAGAAAAAAATAAAAAAAAAAAAAAGAGTTCAGTCGGTCCAACTGCACTGGAAGGATGGGGACTACTTCACAGAGCCTTGAAAGATGGGGATTGTAAAGCAAAGGGAATGGGGAACATAGGGCGGAAGTGGGATGACCCCGGAGGAGGTAAGTGAACTCTTCAAGGAAAATTTCGCTACCACGAGAGTTCAAGGTTGCCATTTTTTCTTATCTCCAGGAGTATCAGCAGCTGCAGGGTATTCCCACATAAAACAAGTTTATCATACCTCTTCTTCCTTACTATGTTCTACCAATCCCACTGCAGTCCAGTATAGAATGGAGGTGCACAGACTTCAATACTCTTCATTTAAAAATATTAAAAGATAAAGGAAAACAAACCTTAGGCAGTTTTGGTAGAACCTTTGGTAGCCCTTTAAAAAACTGTGATTTCTGAAGATTATCCCTTTGGAATAAAGAATCAAAATATTGGAGTGTCATTGCCCCAACATCATCAAAGAATGGTATCTAAAAATAAAGGATAAAAATGTGTGATCTTGGAGAGAAACCACCACCAATGCTATTGTAAATGTAGCATATGTAAAATAATCATCTAATTTACCTTCTCAAATGCATTATAAAAATCAACAAAACTTTTAGTAGTTAAGTGGCTACATCTAATAAATAGAAAAGTACATTTTTACACAATAAGTAGTATTGTGACCGACAGGTAAACTTCATCATTAAAACAATTAACTGCTTGAGCCTAGCTTTTTAAAGGAAACAGATAATATTTGTATGGCTGATATGGTCTGTATAACTTGGTTTATTTTATATGGAAGAGAATTATTTTTCGCATTAGAAAAGCTCTAAGAATGAATACAAGTTTTAATAAAAGAGCAAGCTTACCAAGAAGTACTGTATACTTATTACTTCTACATTATTAGGCTACTTCCTAAACTACCCAGCCTTTGGTTACCTCCCTGGGAATTTATAGCCCTGCTTCGATACAGAAAGTGAATGTGACAGTCATAAAACAAAAGGAAAAGTAGTATCTTTAAGGACCACTAACAGAAAATAACTAAACATTTTAAAATTTCAATTGACAAGAGCAACAGCTAAGTTCATGTTATTAGCCCTGTTTCTTGCAGCTACAGTATTTTCTAGGCACTCACCTTTGTCATTTGATCTGCATCTGGTCTGACTGCAGGAGCTACGTTTAATAGTAGTTTTACATGTTCACGTACTTCCTCTGGTATATTCTGAAGTGTAGTGGAGCCTAAGCGACTCAGCTGTACAAATAATTCAAGTACATGATCCATGAATACAGAAAATTCTGCATACTCATTATTTTAAGACAACTGATTTGATGGCTTTTTAGTTCTACTTTAATTAGGCAAATTTTATAAAATGTAATTTTTATAAATGCGAGAAACTTCAGCTGTGGTCATTCCTATCTCTTTTCTTACAGTGTCACTGCATGCTGGCACTGGTTTAAAACTTGAGTTTACTAAGGCCATGCCTACACATACAGTGCTGCAGCTCTCTTGTCGGCATACTATAATATAATATAATATAATATATGGAGATATACCTATCTCAGAGAACTGGAAGGGACCTTGAAAGGTCATCGAGTCCAGCCCCCTGCCTTCACTAGCAGGACCAAGTATTGATTTTGCCCCAGATCCCTAAATGGCCCCCTCAAGGATTGAACTCACAACTCTGGGTTTAGCAGGCCAATGCTCAAACCACTGAGCTATCCCTCCCCCCATCTCTGCGAGCAGCAAAAGCTATGAGTGTCAGGAGAAGCTCTCCTACTGATATAGCGCTGTGCACGCTAGCGCTTATGTCAGTGTAACATGTCACTCATTGGGGTGGAATATTCATACCCCTGAGCAACGTAAGTGGTAGTGTAGACAGCTTAATTCTGTAGCGCTACGGAGCTCAACTATATGGCTGCCTGGCTCTTTAATAGTGCATTGTAATCTGTATGTCATGATAGAGCATTAAACGTGACTAAGGGCTTGTCTACACTGGCAATTTACAACTCTGCAACTTTCTCGTTCAGGGGTGTGAAAAAACACCCCCTTGAGCGCAGCAAATTTCAGTCCTGTAAAGCGCCAGTGTAAACAGTGCACAAGCGCTGGGAGCTACGCCTCTCGTGGAGGTGTGTTTTTTTTAAGAGCGCTGGGAGAGCTCTCTACATAAGCCACATTATAGTGCTGCCGCGGCAGTGCTTTAGCGTTGCCAGTGTAGACAAGCCCTAAGGAACATCAGTATAACTCAGCATCTCTTTTCTTCCTCCAGCAGACAGGAGGTGGAGAAAGAAAAGTTAATCTCTTTCTCTGAAAGTAAGTGAGGGAGGGCATCCTTCCAACTCAACTGTTGGGATGGGAGGGAGGGAGGAGTCACCCACAATTTCTCACTTGTGGGTGATTTCATCACCTTTTATTTAAACTCAGCAATTTCCACATGGCTAACACAGTTGTTCATTGTCCTGTGGTTGATATCCTGTTTGCTCTACTCACAGTCAGAGTGGCACATCATATGTCTATCCCATATTAGCAGCATATGGAGGGAGACATAAGAAGCCCCAGGTAGAATGTCAGCACTAGTAGTTTATTCAGGCAATTTTAATTATGCATCTATTTTTATTCCAAGTATTTTGTAAAGACTGTTTTTAAAGAGGTAGCATGTATGATGTGACCTGTTATTGTAACTACATTTATATTGTAGCTCTCGATGTTGTGTACTACATTGAGATATCCATTTCTTTTCTTTTTTAAAGTAGCAATTGCTTTTAAACATTGAGACATTTAAAAAGTAAAACTCAAATTCAGAACATATTGCTAAGTATAGCAGATACCTGATCCAGCTGTCTACTGAAACTTTTATAAATATCTTTCTTGTTGATCTCAAAAATAGGTTTCCCTTTATTAAATACTGCATACGTGACAGCTCCTAAAGAGTACATGTCACTGGCAGTCTCGCAGCTCACTGAAAGGATGTATTCTGGTGCCAAATACTCAGGATTTGGAAGACACAAGGATGGCAAGTTTGGGTCCCATTCTTTACATAGGAACTTCAGCTGTAAGAACAACAGTGAAAGAAAATATAGAGGTTGAAGATTTTAAATTGAAATTACTCAATAAGCAGCAAACAGTCAAATTCCTTCAAATTCACCATGAGTAAAATAACAGGGACAGAGTGAAGCAAAACTGACTAAGTGGCTATATAAGCTAAATGGGTATGCTTTGACAGTTGCAGATATCACACCAAGATGATTTAGAATTATGAAACTTGATGAACATTTCAAAGAATGCTTTACATATTTAGGCACAAATTAATCTTTGGAATAAAGAGCTACAGAAAATATGTTACCCGTTTTACTTTAGGAAATTAAATGTATTTTTGGATAAGAATGGTCAGTAATCCCAGGAACACTGCACTCTGTGGCGGGAGGGTAGCCCTGTCCATTGGGCTGTTGTTGGTTCATCTTGGTGCCAAGACTGGTTGGTGACCTGCTGCCTCAAAAAAGTTGCACTAGGGGAAAAGGTGGCATCCTCCTGTACTGACCTACCAGTAGATGTATATGTTGTACTCTGCACAGACAAACTCCACATCCCGTTACTAATTCCCTGAACTATTTAGTCCCTGTTAATCCACTCTTAAGTTTCTTTTGAGCAACAACTATCAAGCATGTAGTAGTTCTGCAACAAATGTGCATGGGGCTCAAGAATGAAATCACACTCGTTTTCAAAGTACAAGGAATTTTTCACTGACCACTATACTAGGACTAGAACCCAATCCCTAGTCTAAGGAGGCAGCTCAAATTCATTTTCAGTTGTGACCCAAGGCAGAATTTGAACTCAAACCTCCAGAAATAAAGGGTTGATGACCTATCATGTCATATAGCCTCCCCACTACTACTAAAAAAAAAAAAAAAAAAAAAAAAAAAAAGAGGTGTAGAGAAATTAGTAGCACTAGATACAGCACTAAAATTAGTAGATCATGCAGCCTGTTTCAGACACTATCTGCATTTAAAGTAAAAATCAGACAAAAATAAAGCCTTATTACCTCTTGTTCAGATGGATTTGTTGACTGAATACAAAAATCAAATCCCATAATTTTCCATGCTCCACTTTTATTCAAAATTATATTTTCAGGAGTAATGTTTCCATGGACCATTTTCACACTGCTGTGCAAAAAGGACAAACCTTCAGAGACCTGTTAACAAGGAAAGATTATTTCAAGTTTTTTTGCAAATATACTTTCAAGACACTTGCAAAATATTTACATCAATTATCACGTGTCATTTGTCACAGCAAAGTCTGACTTCCCATGCTCAACTGGCATGTGTTAGTTAAAAAATATACCACAAGGGAAGAAAATATTTCAGACTAAAATCTTTGAAAAAATTAAACATGTATCAAGCAAACCAAATTCAGGTTGAGAACTTGCTCATGGAGTTACTAATGCCAAGTTAACTATCACAGGGCTTGAAAAACCCACTTGCCCAGGATGAGTAGAACGTTCACCAGATGAGTTGGCTGAATGGGGAGCCACTGGCTCCTTCTCTAGAAGAGAAGGAACAAAAAAGCTGCAGAGCAGCGTATGTGCTTGTGCTCCTTTAGCAGACGGGAAGGTGGGAACAAAATTGCCTATGCATAGCTAGTTTTTAAGGAGAAGAGGGGACAGAGCAGTTTGCTTTGTTCTTTTCACAGACCTGTGTGGGGAGAGGGAGTGTGAAAGAGCAGAGTGGTTGGAGGCTGCTTTAAAAAAAAAAAACCTAACAAACAGAATGGGAGGATGAAGCAAGGAGTAGTGACCTCTGTGCCAGGGCTCATTTATGACGGGAGAGGGAGATCGCAATAGAGTGCTCACAGACAGAAGGGCTCCTGAGCATCTATAAAGGTAGTAGCACAGGGGTGGGCAAACTTTTTGGCCCCACGGCCACATCGGCATTGCAAAACTGTATGGAGGGCCGGGTAGGGAAGGCTGTGCCTCCCCAAACAGCATGGCCCCCACCACCTATCCACCCCCTCCCACTTCCTGCCCCCTGACTGCCCTCCTCAGAACCCCTGACCCATCCACTCCCCCTGCTCCTTGTCCCCTGACCGCCCCCTCCTGGGACTCCCCCATCCACACACACACCCACGCTCTCTGTCCCCTGACTGTCCTGACCCTTATTCACACCCCCACCCCCAGACAGGCCCCCCGGGACTCCCACGCCTATCCAACCCCCCTGTTCCCCGACTGCCCCCCAACCTCCGCCCCATCCAACCGCCCCCACGCTCCCTGTCCCGACTCCCCTGACCCCTATCCACACCTCCGCCCCCTGACAGCCCACCCAGGACTCCCATGCCTATCCAACGCCCCCTGCTCCCTGTCCCCTGACTGCCCCCGGGACCCCCTGCCCCTTATCCAACCCCCCTTACCATGCTGCTCAGAGCAGCAGGAGCTCGCAGCCCCGCCACCCGGCCACAGCCAGCCATGTCACCCGCGCTGCCTGGCAGGAGAGGCGGACCAGAGCGCTGACGGCGCAACGCTCTGAGGCTGCAGGGGAGGGAGGACAGCAGGGGAGGGGCCGGGGGCCAGCCTCCCCAGCCGGGAGCTCAGGGGCCAGGCAGGACGGTCCTGCAGGCCGGATGTGGCCCACGGGCCGTAGTTTGCCCACCTGTGTAGTAGCAGGAGCAGCAACAGGTTGGGGGATAATCTATTCACTTAAAGACAGAGCACTGACTGAATTATGTGGATGGCAGTGGTATGACTGGGGAAAGAAAAAAGCAAATTTAAGTTTGCCACCCATTTCAAATTTATTTTAAAAAGATAAGAGGCCACAAAGCTAAGACTCACAGGAACTGGCATCACTCTTCATTAAAAAGAAAGGCGGGGGGGAGGGGAGGGACTAGAAGGAAAATGGTGAAATGTACAATTCTAAATTCTCTAGTGAGATTGGGCAGAAACAGTAGCAATCCAGAGCATTCCATCAAGCATTCATCCTTTCCGCCACTCTGTTTATAAAAGGGTCTTCAAAGCATTGCGGTCTCTCTCCTCATAATTATTTCATTTACTATATGCTCTTTGAAGCTGGGACCTGCCATGCAGCAAAATATCCATGACTACTGTTTGCTTCAGTTTCTTTGGTTCATCTCTTACCCTTCTCTCAAATATTAATGCAGAGATGGCTCGAAAAATTATTGTTTTATGATCACCATCACTGGTCTTCAGATTACTTGTCAAAAGTTACGGCCCACGGGTGATTTTTTTTTTTATTTCAAAAGGATAACTCCAGACTGAAACCTTGTAGGATAGTATTTAACCTAAAATCAACTATTATAAAAATATACAATCCCCTGAAAAACTGTATGTAATGGAAATGACAGCAAATCCTTGAATATCTCAGTGATAAGCAACACCACTATAATGTAGTCTGTCTGAAATTAACACAGGGTTCTGTGCCCTCACCTCACCTTTCTCCTCCAAGAGATGGATTTACACTAAACAGTTCTCTCAAGGAGAAGAAAATAGATCAAATTTGCCAAGGATGGCAAGAGGAAAAAACAGTATGTGGTTAAGGCATTGGATAGACCCAGATTCAGGCTATGTTCTATTCTCAGCATCACCATAGACTTCCTGAGCAACCTGGAGCACGTTACTTAACTTCTTCATGCATCAGATCCCTATCTCCTACATAGGGAAAATAGTTCCCTACTCACAGGACTGTTGTAAGGATAGATTCATTAATGTATTTAAGGTGATCAGATACTATGGTGATGGCCTTTTAGAAAAACCTATAAGTAAAATAAAAATTAACACTAATACAACTGGGTTTAACACCATAGACTTAAATGGAGTTGAATACACTTACATCAGCTGTGAATTTTTAAAAAAATCTTATCAGTCCTGAATGCTGTGATAGAAAGGTCTTGTGCTTTTAGACAAATAATTCCAGAATTCCTAAGCAAACTGTTACACACATGCTTATCTTTACCCACAATTACTCACATAGGTAAACACGTGCATACCTGTTAGCAGGATCAGGGCTTAAGTTTGTAAGCCAATACTAGACATGCAGAAAAAATATAAAGATAAAACCATTAACATACCTGAAGCAAGCCATATTTGGTTTCCACATCATAAAGTTTGTATTCCTTAATATCAGATGGTAAAGGAGAGGGTAGATTGTCCCAGTTGCCAAGAACATTAGCTAAACTTGCAAAGACTGGTTCTGTACAAAATGCCAGGCAATCTCTAAAAAGGGAAGAGGTACCCAATATATCCAGTAAATACATTTAATAAGCTCTTAGTCATGATTTTGAATGACAGAAAATAACTTTCACATGATACATCACCACAATTATCAATATTACTTAAACTATGCTGTATGACAGCTTTTGAAGAATAGATCTCAAATATTTTAATTCTGTAACAAGATGTCTTGGAAGCACACTGGAAGTCAGAAGGTGGTATTGGTCAGAGTAAGACATTTACTACTCTGTATATAGTACTAAAAGTGTGCATAGTGTTTGGTAAAGAATACGAATATTTTCCCTGTACTGAGCCAACACAACAAGGGGAGTAAAGTAGGCATTCATGTACAAGTTGCAGGATCAGGCTTTTAGTTAGGACTAGGATTGATTAGATTCTGAGTAAAGCAGCCTTTGTGTACACCAGTCAGCCATAAACCAGAACATTAGGGTCAAAGCCCATAAGACCAAAGTCAGCACCAAACTAGAGCCTTGTTCATAGTGGGAGGCAGAGAAAATAACAGAAAATAAAAAATTCAGTAGAGCGAAGAGTATGTGCTGACCAACAATTAATGAAGCAATTGTTGAATATTTAGTGGCACTACAAAGTATACAATTTTTTTATGGCAAAAGGTGCTTGAGACACTCATCAGAACGACTGCACAATAAACAGTGTAACTGTGTCTTCCTTACTCTCTCCCTTCATCCCTCACCATGTCCCCACCTCCTCTTTCCCTCTGTGGTTTCATTTCTCCTCTAACATTGTGTTGTAATGTTCACGTCCTATCCTCTCAATAAATGAGGTTGCCTCCCTGTGACTATGCTCAAAGTGGCTCTTCATTTAGCCTCTTTCCGGTCTCCTCTCCCTTAGCGGCTGTAAGAGGAGTACACATGTATGTGTACACAATTACAAGCCTTCCAGCTACTGTCAAGGAGCAGGGGATCATGGTGACTCTTAACTCTCCATATCAATCTCATGATGCCAGCAAGTTTGCTGTCCACACTGCCTCACAGGTATAGGCTTCAGGTAGCATAGTCATACCGTGCTTAAGACCCCTGGAACAGCCATAGCAACTTAAGAGCTGTGGGTTAAGTCTCAATTGTTCTAGAGTCTACAGGAAAAAGCTTTAGCTAGTTGATAACACTTGAGCCTGTTGTGAGAAAGAACTAGCAGGTTATATATGAGAAAATAAGAACACTGCCTCCACCTGAGCAAGGAAAATTGAGACGTAAGAAAACCAGTCAGAATATATTACTCAGGGTGATGAAGTCTCATGCAAGAAATTAAAAAACTAAATATTTGTTGAGTCATTCAAAGATATCACAGGGAACTCTATGTAGTAGGATACAACTTAATGGATTGTACACATCACAAGCCAACGAAATTGCTCTCTAAAGTACAATAAGGCCAAAGAAACAAAACTGATGAAACATGAAAGATCCTTGCTCATCACCCTCAAAGACTAAGAGTCATAGCTTCAGTTCTCCCTACCACTGCCTTTGTGAAGAAGCAAGAATCCTAAAGCAGAATACAAGTGTCAGAAAACCCAACTGAAGATGCTCAACCTTGGTGTTAGTCAGGCTTCCAATTAAACCAATGTGTAGTGGCTCCTCCTGACCCTGCACTTTTTTTTTTTTAAATATAACAAACAACTGCCTCTACAGAAACTCAGTTTTGTACTGACCCACTAGGTAAGAACAGAAATGGGGATAACAAAGTCACTCAATCTTTTATTCCTATTCACCAACAAAAAGCAGATTTAAGTGCCTGGTGGTACTTAATACTGTTCCAAAACATCAACTTTAGCAAAACTCAAACTTATATAAACCAGGAAATACAGAGTTAAGGTACATGCCAATGTAACCTTAACTCTACTCTCGTTGAGCGAAGACCTATAAGCCCATAGCACACATTCTTTCATTGTACTGAACAAGAGCTATCTATACCTGCCTTACACTCAAACACCTAGCTTACTCCACAAAACACCATATCTGCTAAATTTTACAACCTTTACTCATATGCACAGGATGCCACCTAATACGATCATTTCCTCTTACCCTTCACTGAAACCACAGACCACACTCATCTCCCACCTAACTGATGACAATTCCCACAGTCAGAAGACACCTGGGCCCTGCTACTGACACAACCTACACAATGCAGTGCTGAAATGAGGCATACTGGATCCCTCAGGGTACATAGGCACCTCTTTCCTTAGATCACAGTCAGGGGTCAGGCAAAGGGATTCACACACTTCCAGAAAGTCATGACTCCCACCCCAGATCTCCTATCATTATCACAGCTCTGCCAAGCTGCGCCAACATTTAATACACCTACATCTACCCCTACTCTTGTAGTCCCAGGCCACCATTTCAAGTTCACCTTCCCCTTCCTGTCCCAGTAAGCCACTAGCACTTGGGAAGCCATTAGCATGTAAGACGTTGCTCCCTGCTGTCTGGTGACCTCGGAGGGTGCATATGTATCACAGGCAGCAGCTTACTGGAGGGATGCATGCTTCCTTGAATTATGTACCCTGTGCTGTACACCAAACCAGGCCCCATACTGCCACTATGCGCCGCCACCTAGCTGGACTCCCCATCTGCTTCAGCCAGGCTTCCCCAGCCATGCCTTTGACCCACCCAGTCTACTTCCCCTGCAAGTCAGCCTCCCCTCCCCTGCAAGATATGGCATATACCCTAACTTTGTATTTTCTGATTTTCAGAGGTTAAGATTTGTGTTACCTTAAGATCACAGCACAGACACAGCAGAGAAGGATGTGGGGCTGACAGGTCTGCCTCCCCCCCACACCTTGGCACCCACCCCACATATCACCCTTCCCAGTGTTCCATCCCTCATCTCCATCATCTCCCCTGACCTGAACCTCCCAACCCCTCTTCCCTCACTTACCCCAATTTATCCCCCCCGCAGCAAACCCAAGCCCCTTTCCCCCATTCCTTCTCTTTTCCTCTGCCCCCTAGCTCCACCTCCCAGCAAGTATTTGCATACATAATTATTTTCTTTTCAAAAATAGTCTGAGCACCTTCCGAATTTTTTGCTGTACTCAGACGACATTTCCCCAAAACAACAAAAGATCTCTTTGACAAAGGCAAATTGTAGCAACATGACTGTATTTCATTTCCAGATTTCCACCAAGGATGGGTTCCAGATTAAAATGCCTAGGTGTTGCTCATATTCAATAGCCATAGCATGTCCCATTCAGCCATCCAGATTATGTGAAAACTGGCTGACTAGTAACTCACTTGGGTACCATGCACATACACAAGATAATCAGTTTTGTGCATACGTGTTAGGCTCAAGCCTGTAGAGATTAATTTTGTTAAATAACATTTTCAATACTGCTTCCCCAAAGGAGGCTACATCTCAGGAACGTTTTGGTGAAATGACCCCAAATTTATATCACTATCCCTACCCCAGCACCCCATGAGGCACACTAACTTTCAAGGGAAAGTGAGAAACTATGCAGATACAAGAGCACTTACAGGAATTGACCTCAAACCATAAAGTTTTCTCAACCTTAACTATCCGGGAGCTGGCACCTGCCTATAATTTTAACTTTTTTAAAGCCTGGGCGAGGTCTCTTGCTGTAGTTCAGGCAAAGAGAGTGGAAAAGGACTGGGGAACTGATGGTGGAAAAACATGGCTTCTACTTTGTAAAAATTCAGGAATAATGCTAAAACAAAATAAACCAAAACCAAGAAAAGCTCTTTGCTTCGGCAGTTACTGTGACTTCAGCCCTCTTTCAAGTGAAGTATAACTGCGCAAAACAAGGTTTTGTTTTAATGAATATTTTAGCAGTTGAAGTCAGTCACATAGTATACCTTCAACATCTCTGTGAATAATATCAGAAAAAGTGACCGTTTGGGCAACAGTGCAACTAGAACATGGTGACATATGACCTACTTTTATTTATTTTCTCTAATTGCCAAGTCCATATCTTTTGTTATTATTTCTGCACGTTTTTCCAAATGCTCCAGACCTCCATGTCCAGCAAAAAAATACTTACAATTTTACTAAAATTTACCTGGATTCTTCTAATGGATGTTGGACGGTAACTAGTCGAGGGTGTCGAAGCCTTGTCAGTTGTTGAACTCCTCGCTTTAAAGAATCAATAATCTGATCCTTTTCAAATTTCTGATATTTGTCTATTAACTTTTTATCAAAGACGAAAACAGCAACTTCCTAAAAATAAGCAACAAAACTCAGTCAATATTACCTAAGCCACACAGTAAAGTTTATACAATATGATCCATCAAAGCAGAAAGTAGTTCATTATACATCCATAGCCAAATGCTATACTAACTTATTTCAGTTACAATCAACATGATTTTTTTAAATCTCAATTCAATAATATATTTTTCCTGAGCCAATAAACTACTGCTACATACTTTATAAAAAATAATGAATTGACTATTACCACAATGGAATAGGCGCCGACTCCGTGGGTGCTCTGGGGCTGGAGCACCCACGGGGGAAAAAAAAAAAAAAAAGGGTGAGTGCTAAGCACCCACCGGCTGCCCACCTAGCAGAACCTTCCATTCCACCCAGCACCTCCTGCCCACCCGTGGCCCCACAGTGCAGCGCCTTTCCCTCCCTCCCTGTGCCTCTTGCAGATCAGCTGTTTTGTGGCATCAGGAGGCACTGGGGGAAAAGGGGGAAGGAGCGAGGGCGCAGCGCAATCGGGGATGGAACTGGGCGGGAAGAGGCAGGGCTGGGAAGAGGCGTGGTGGGGGCAGGGCAGGGGTGGGGCATTGGGGGAAGGGGTAGAGTGGGGGCACGGCCTGGGCAGAGCCTGGGGGAGCACCACCTGGCAGATTAGAAACTCGGTGCCTATGGTTAATGGTACCACGCTACTTATGCAATGACTAAGCAGCACATCTGAAGACAGCAGCTGGCCGGATTTTAAATAAATGGGAGTTTTGGATACTCAGCACCTCAAAAATCAGCTCAGGTATTGGTAATTTAAATAGTTTGAGAATACACTTATTTTATTTGTTGGAATGATGCTTTGTTATGATTGACATTTGTATTTTTTCTTGAGCACATTGTAGAGAATGGAAAGAATAAATTCTTTCCCTAAACAATATTTTCCTCAGTGTTTTTTTTTTTTTTTTTACTCAACTCTTAAAAAATTACTCAGAAGAGAAAATGCAAGTTCTACTGATTTCAGAATGTTTTGCTGTCTCTTAAAAATTAATTTGGGGGAGGACTACCTAATTTGGTAGGTCATATTCAACAAAAAATTAAGGAGTCTTATAAATTAGGATTTTTGCTAAGAATATTAAGGGGAAATAAGGAGGAGAACACATTATCTCTGGAACTTTTCTTGTGTTATCACATGGCCCGGACCTTGCTTCCAGCTGTGATGTATGCAGCAATTAAGAGGTGAGGGGGGTAATTAACCCTGAGCCTGTGCTTCCTGACTCCCAATATCCAAATAGAAGGTCAGTTAATGAATTTTTATTTTATATATGTCTGCTCCTTGTACAGAAGGAAATATGTTCATAAAATATAAACTAATATAAAGCTAGACTTCATATTATTTACCAATATTAATTTGTATCCAAAATGCTATGTTTCAGCCCAAAGACAAGACAAGGAGGCAACTGTTGGTGTAAATTTGGGCACAAGTGCTATTTTAATGAATATGCATATTCAGCATGTCAGCCTGCTATACAGCAGGTCACACACGCAAACAGCACAATGCTAATAACAATTTTCACCTATATGTATATATATTTGTATATAGACAAAGCAAAAGCAGCAAAATGACCTTTGCAGTAAGTTATGTGAATAAATATTACATTTTATTTGTCCACATGGAAGTTATTTATAATGGATGAAATCCACCCCAGGTCAGAGGGCTCAAAAAAACCAAACCAAAACCAGTTTATGCTTAATTATATACTGCAGTAAAGACTTGTGATGTTGCCCACCCCCCACCCCCAAAAGGGTCAACTTCACTCCAAGGAACTGCAGTGGGCACACAAACTAACCTGAGTTTTAGTGATATTACAGTTCAAGCAATATGCCATATACTTAAAATGGGAAATACTACTAGAATTGCTAATATCTCTAAAACAAGCATGAACATTTTAGGTGCATCCATTGTTCAGATTATTTCAAGCAATCCACTGGACTAAAGAGCACACAGTGTTGGTTATTTAAGATGAGATAGACTTTTCCATCTTCCTCTTCCATCCAGCAGGATTCTTTGAGATATCTAGTAAATTCATCTCAACATTCTGCGTGCCTGGAAGCTGTTACCATTAAACAAGAAAATGCACTCTATATATAGTTCTTTCTAAAGAAAATTGAAACATAGTTGTTTGGTCCCATAACAGTTTCTTCTCTTCATGAAAAGTTCTTATTAAAAAAATTAGTCAAGCTAAAAGACAAAAATAGTGCTATATTTATTTACAAAACTGAGTGTAACATCTTGCAAAGGCTTACATAGGGGTTTAACATTATGGACTACTTGGAGTCCAACTGAAACCATGAAGTCTTATTTCTTTTAATACTAAAAGAAATTCAAGAATATCCTTGTCAACTGCAAATCTTTGTATGCTAGCCACTTCTCATCTGCTACAGTATAATTGTTTTTCTGACTTAATCTCCTTTCAGTTTACTTCCACTCAATCATGAATGATATCCCTCATTAGAAAACAGCCTTCAGTGCCACAAACGGCTCAGGATTTAAAGCATTTAAAGTAATTCCCACACCATTTGCCGCCTTCAATTTTTACATAGCAGAAGCCTTACATAGCATATTAAATCGATAATATTAAATATTGATGCTATGGTACCAGTCAGATTTGTCTAAAACTTCTTTTTAGAAGTTATTTTGTGTTTGCACTAGGATTTTTCATACCCATTCCCTAACACATACAAGGTCCATCTACAGTAACGACAGCAGAAACTGCGGTGTACATAGAGCTTACAAGGTTCTAATCACTGTCAGAAAGAGCAGTAAACACACCCAAGCTCTGCCTAAACTGCAGATACCACCAGAAGAGTTTGCACACACCTGCTAAGAATGACAGATCTGTAGAAAATACCTTAGTTACTTTCTGACTGTCTCATCTTTTTACCTCATAAAGCAAAGGGACAGAAAACAACTGGGTTTTTTTCTGGAATACAGTTAAATAGCTTAGGCCTGGTCTACACTATGAGTTTAACTCGAATTTAGCAGTGTTAAATCGAATTAACCCTGCACCCGTCCACACAACGAAGCCATTTATTTCGAAATAAAGAGCTCTTAAAATCGATTTCTGTCCTCCTCCCCGACGAGCGGAGTAGCGCCAAAATCGATATTGTCATTTCGAATTAGGGTTAGTGTGGCCGCAATTCGATGGTATTGGCCTCCGGGAGCTATCCCACAGTGCACATTGTGACTGCTCTGGACAGCAAACTGAACTCGGATGCACTGGCCAGGTAGACAGGAAAAGCCCCGCGAACATTTGAATTTTATTTCCTGTTTGCCCAGCGTGGAGAGCACAGGTGACCACAGCTAGCTCATCAGCACAGGTAACCATGCAGGCCGATAATCGAAAAAGAGCACCAGCATGGACCGTACGGGAGGTACTGGATCTGATCGCTATATGGGGAGAGGATTCAGTGCTAGCAGAATTTCATTCGAAAAGAGGAAATGCCAAAACTTTTGAAAAAATCTCCAAGGGCATGATGGAGAGAGGCCACAATAGGGACTCAGAGCAGTGCCGCGTGAAAGTCAAGGAGCTCAGACAAGTCTATCAAAAAACAAAGGAGGCAAACAGTCGCTCCGGGTCAGAGCCGTGGACATGCCGCTTCTACGCCGAGCTGCGTGCAGTTCTAGGGGGGGCCGCCACCACTACCCCACCTCTGACCGTGGATTCCGAGGTGGGGGTAATCTCATCAGCCACACCTGAGGATTCTGCGGACGGGGAAGAGGAGGACGAGGACGAGCTTGCGGAGAGCACACAGCACTCCGTTCTCCCCAAACAGCCAGGATCTTTTTCTCAGCCTGACTGAAGTACCCTCCCAAGCCAGTATCCAAGACCATGACCCAATGGAAGGGACCTCAGGTGAGTTTACCTTTTAAAATATAAAACTTGTTTTAAAAGCAAGTGTTTTTTAATGATTACTTTGCCCTGAGGACTTGGGATGCATTCGCGGCCAGTACAGCTACTGGAAAAGTCTGTTGACATGTCTGGGGATGGAGCGGAAATCCTCCAGGGACATCTCTATGAAGCTCTCCTGGAGGTACTCCAAAAGCCTTTCCACAAGGTTTCTGGGCAGTGCAGCCTTATTCCGTCCTCCATGGTAGGACACTTGACCACGCCATGCTAGTAGCAAGTAATCTGATATCATTGCATGACAAAGCCTGGCGGCATATGGACCCGGTGTTTGCTGGCATTCAAGCAACATCCATTCTTTATCTCACTGTGTAATCCTCAGGAGAGTGATATCACTCATGGTAACCTGGTTGAAATACGGGAATTTAATTAAGGGGACAGAGGTGGCCGTTCCTACTGGGCTGTTTGCCTGTGGCTGAAAAGAAATCCTTCCCTGCACTTAGCCAAGCGCGGGGGGTGGGGGGAGGCAATTGGCCCTGAGCTTTTCGCGTTTGGCTAGCAGGGAAGGATTTCTTTTCAGCCACAGGC